AAATGTACATCACAGCTTGTGAATCTAAAAGAAACATCACAGTTTCTCATTCTAAAGCGATAAAAGGTATGTGGACTTCAGAGAAAACTTGAATTAAAAAGGCTGCGTTTCCCACATACCTGTTGTTCAGGCAAACACAATCTGACCGCAAAGTATGAGGCTATAAAATGAGTAGACCGCCTGACATGTACATTAACTACAGGCTACAGGCATGAATCAAACACAGAGCACCTGATATTTAAGAACTTGCAGCTGCTGTGGGTTTGCTTAATTTTTTCTTCCTCCTCTAGTAACTGTTTGGCAGAGTGAGCTCAGATATAATGTGATTTGTCAAGTCAAAGCATGATGGCTGAATTATAGCTATGACCTTTAACTGTGAGTGTGACTGTGAGTCACGTTATGAACAAGTTCAATTATCTGTGGTGCAAACAATATCATAATGAGAAGAGAACAGGCCATTGTGCTTTTCAAATAATCTATGTTGATGCTGAGATTTTTACACAGCAATGAAATGGTTGTAATGAGGGGCGAAAAAGATTTTACAGTGTCAAGTATAATCCCTGCATCTTTGCTTGAGGGCTATCCATTATAAGGATAGTATGAAAGAGCCTGTAGAAAGCTGATAAAACAAAAATTGGGAGGAGGACACATTCCCAAGACCCTGAGAGCAACATCATTTCAGCATGAAGTCATACGGAAAGGTTTTGTTAGTGGGTTTTGAGCAAAAAGCCCAAGTATTAAACTCCATTTGTGCGGCATGACCATTAGCTAAAAAGAAATGATGCCTCAAATCGAGCAAATTTACAGCGAGTAATATCTGGAGACCACAATATCATTGGGAGTTAAAGGGGGAATTCTTGTGACTTAAGCTAGTAAGCAACCACTAAGTGTTAAACAACCTGCGATACACATAGTTATGCAAGTTACAGAATGCTTTGACTCTGACATATCATATGCAAATACATCTAGAGTCAAGAGTAGCATATCCACTTTCTATTTTGTAAAATGCCCACAGTAGAATCATCGTGGTACAATACTTTCTAGATTTGTAGATTCGGTTGGGGATCGATGGATTATGGGCATGCTCAATAGTCCAGTCGCTGCCAAAACCAAAAATGCATGCAAGGAAGGGAACGCTCTTTAATAACGGGTCTCGTGCAAGACACCATTGCAAACAGCTGAATCAGAGGATCTAGAGAATAACCACTGCAGGCAAAAAACAGCAGAGAACATTAGATTACAGAGAACACCTAACATTGTGGGTAATACTACATTTTTACGATTTTCTCTAAACCCAGTAATGTCTCTGAGATTTTTTTCACCCATTTTACTGGTGAAAATCACCCAGTCACTTAAAAAATAATAATAGCACACCTCAACTAAACAAACCAAATGATTTGAAATATCATTCAGGTCCGTAGCACAAACAGTGTGAGACAATTATGCCAAAGTTTAATACTTAGGTTGAAGTTGCGATTAAAAATGAAGTATAGCGAAAGACCTTTTCTTCCATATTGGATTACTGAAAAAGAAAGAATGTAGGGTGGGACTTGATTCTGTGCATCAAATATTGATTGGATGTTGAGATGTGGGGGTTGCATTCAAAAGTGGAGGCAGATAAATGTGAGCTTACAAGGGTTTAAGATTGATCAAGAACTGCATATGTCACCAGACAGAAGTCAAGACATTTTGGTTAAACATTATAAAGTCGAAACATTTTTTTAGCATATGCATAATTCACTATAAGGTCTGCAACATGCATTTAGAAACTTGATAGGATGACTTTTTATTTCATGCGAATTTTAAAAGCCACAGTATACTCTTTGTTCTTCGCAAGTTTGAAAAGGCTGAACAACAGTATACTGCTTGTGAACATTATGACACCGCCCACGCTGTTTAGATGAATATGTAAATAGCTGCACACCATCCTCTCAATAACACAACAAAAAAGACAGCAGTGAGAACAGAGCAATATCAGATCATAGGGATGTGGATATGTTTGCACCAGCTCCACTGTATACACGTTTTGACTTTGATGGACTCCCTAAAATAATGAACCTGATCTAATTTCTTGCATGAAGTTTTCTGGAAAGTCTGCATTGGAAAGTTGTTTTGAACCACCAAAACAAACTCTGTATTAGCCATATTTTGAGCCAAATGCTGCACACGTTACGTATGCTTCAATTTCGCTGAAAGTATATTGTGGCTTTGTTTGTTCCAGTCACTATCCCTCAGTATGAGCAATAGTCATGCTTGCAAACAGCTATTACAAACACAAAATTGGTTTATGTCCTTCATAACCTTTACGAAAGTATAATTTACAGCATTCAAGTCTCATTCAGAGAGACCACATGTAGGCAACGCATACAGCAATGATAATATGCATAAGAGGAGCTAAAGCACACAGTAGTTTAAGCAGAGGTCTGCTGCATTGCACTGGTGAGAAACGGTCTGTTTTGGTAGCACACATTTGCTCTGCTCACACAGTAGTAACCATGACAATGCAAATATCAAACTCTAAACCAACAGTTTACCTCACCACACTAGCACAATAAAAAGTGCGTGCTGGTTAAAAACTCAAAGGATTAAAATAAACACGGTCATTGTTTTATGGGCACACTGAGCTGATACGACCTGAAATATGTGGGTCGTCAGATCTGCGAGCAAAACAAATGTTGTGAAGTGGCTTCACAATTTGCGGCAGTAAATAATGCTTTCCCAAAACATTGCTTTTAGGGAGCTGGTTCAATAGACGGCTTCTGAGTGACCTTCTTTGCATTCACGTGTTGCTTAAAATAGCAAGAGGCTGTGTGAAAGCCTGTGGATAAATGACACTGGACCCTTTAACAGGAGCTCTAACCTGGCTCGGCCAGAGCTGGGCATGCACAAAGATAAAAGATGTCAGATACAATCGCCGAAAACATGGCCATGACATCATTTATGCACAACAACTTTTCCCAAGGCAACAGCCAAGCGCTATGGCAGGGGGAGTGGGGCAAACCTGCACACTGAATCAACACACTCTAAGCAGCCTTTCTAGCAATGATGTCAACCCTTCCCATACAGATCGGCCCAGACCCTTGAGAGAAAAAAGTTAATGAGCCTCACATCACAGGTTTAGCCCTGTAGACATGTCAGTCAGTCAGAGAGGCTGGGGCAGGATGTAAGGCTGAATTGATTCAGTTATGTTTACTTCCTTTGCTTTTGGAAAGCATGAAGTGAATGGCAACAGAGGATGACTTGAGCACTAGGCCACTTTAAACCATTTATCCACCATTTACCCACACAACCCCACCAGATTTATAGGGGCAGATTGACTCAAACGCATTAGAAATAAGCACATACTGTACACACAAAGTTTTTTTTTGCCAATACATTAGCGCCCTCTGCCTCTGCCTTTGAGACATGGCAGTCAGGATTCAAACAAGTTTTTTAAAGACTTTTCCATCATTTGTGATAAAAAAAAAAACAAACAAATTATAATCACAAAGAGAAACTTCTTGCCAATAGAGTGAATTCAAGTAGCCTAAAAATAAAAATCAGTTGTACTGCATTAAGCTACCTGAGACTTGTCATGGCACTTGCATATTGGTTTTGATTGCTTCTGTTGTCCTCATTTGTAAGTCGCTTTGGATAAAAGCGTCTCCTAAATGACTAAATGTAAATGTAAAGTTGGCCACTTTTTGTTAAACTTGTAATTTCAAAACCCAGATGATTTTTTCTTTATTACGTAGTTAAGGTTAAGGCCCAGCTGCGATATTTTAATTTGAATTCAGTTCATATTATATGTTATCTGGAAGGTTTATACCAATAAACATTTTGAGATCATGCTCAAAACAAGTGTATCTCAGGTAAGGTGGGCTAGCTGAAAAAAAATTATGCTGTATCTTATTTAGCAATTACAAAAGCATTTTTTTTTTATTTTGTATTTTATTAACAGATATTATTAAACAAACATATTTAACAACACGTTTAACAAACCCCAAAACATATGTAAAATTCATAAATTCACTCACTTTGTGCATAAAATTCAAAACAGCTGATAGAACATGTTGTCGGCATTCAGTTTGATGAAATCTAACAGAATATTGATGAAAATGAAATCTACAACATATTAAAACATCTACATTTTACTCCCCTCATCCTTTTTTCACTCCAGATTCAACTTAATGCCTTACCTTCCTTTACGCTCTCTCTTTCCTCTCTTCCATATCTGACTTGACTTTCCTGACTGCACACTCATTTCGGCTTTCTTTGTTTTGAAAAGTCAGTTCTTCATGCCAGTTTTAAAATAACCAATGAATGTACAAGAAAATTACCAATATTTGTTTAAAATGTATTAATTGCATTTTAATCCATGTTAACTGCAGTACCAAATTACTGCCTTTCATCATATCACCATATTCACTATTGCAATTTATGTATTTATTTATAAATTACTCTCATCTATTTGCATCTAGCACTTACGTAGACAAAACTTTCTTTCAGAGTGGTTTGTTCATATTTCATTCATCTGATTTATATAATATTTTACTCCTAAAACTACATTTTTTTAATTATTATTTTAGAATTGTATTATTATTATTATTTTCTGGCTGTTGACTGTATTTTCTGATTTATGGAGTGTTTAAAGGAGATCCCAAAAACCCCTGTAAAACATTAATCTCTAACATGCTAGTATAATTAAACCATACATTTTGAAATGGGATTTGTTCAATGTTCAGATTTCTGTATTGAAATGTATGCAAATTTAATTAGATAATGCCACATTTGTATATTTAACATACGATTTCAGAAAACTATTGTCTTAAAGTTAAGAATCGTACGCAATTTTTTTTTCTGTGGACCTAATTTTTTAACATTCCCGCCCCTCCTCTTCGAAAAAGAAGTTCCGGTCACATCCGCCATTTCGGTGGAGACTGGAAAGCTATTGTTAGCTACAAATACCGCAGAGGTGAAAGTATCGAATATAAATTCGCCAATTTTAGTACCAATCTTGATTTAAGGTTTAAGACTTTAAGGTATATATGCTTAGAGCAAGTAACGTCGAGAAAAACATAATTTAAGGCGTTTTCTTTGCGCGCCAGATTCCGTGAATTTGTCCGCTTTCTCCTGTAGTGTTAGCTTAGCAGCAGGAAGACCGCAGGCTGTTTACCGAAGATTTCAGCGTTTCTTGCAATAATATCCGAACCTAGTTTTAAATGTATTAAATACATCTGAGACCTTTATATTTGACATCTTCTCTCAAGTCGTCGCACTGTCCGCCGTTGCACAGGACTCCGTGAAGAGTGAAGGAGAGATGGCGAGCTCGGTGGGGAACGTGGCTGATAGCACAGGTAACGTAACCATGGCATTAATGATCGTTTGCCTCGACATAGAAACGCTTGCGACGGTGGCCTTCATCTTTTATTGATTTAATGTGTAGTCTATTTGTGACAGGTGTAATAGCTCTATAATACTGACCTCTTTGCATGCGTGTCATGAGTAACCCGTCAAGTAGTTTTTTTCCAGTCAGCAACACTAACGTTAGTATCATTTTCTTTCCTCGTCTTTACAAGCCTAGAAGCCTAGGGTGGGTATAGCAGCCAACTAACGTTATTAGGATGATGAATGAGTTGTCCTTATTAAAGATGTCCAGATTCCTCGTCTATTGTTGCCTTATGGACGGTCTTTTTGTATTTGTATATCTTTTTATAGTCATAACACGTGATGTTTGTCAGTATTTAGTGTTACATTTTCAATTCCAAAACGTGAAAGGAGGTAAGTTAGGTAGCGAAGAGGATGCGAAATTGTAATTCAAACATTGAAATGAAATTTAAAAAAAGAATGCAATGCCTTTGTGTTTTTAAGTACTTCATTTTCACTTTGAGAACCTTTTAATATGTTGTAATATTATGCAACATGTGGGTAATTTCTAGAAACATTTAAATGGTGTTAATATTGAGTGTTTGATAGGGAAAGTTTCTATTGCTGGATAGATAATTAAGTTTAATTTAATGGGCGATGACGGGCACCTGCTCTCATTTAAAATGGAGCTAAATATGCCTAATCAGGCAAATATAGTTTTGTTACGAAGCTTTTTTGGACTAATGAAATTACTCAGTTTTGTGACCGTGATGAATTTACTTTAATTTCAAGCAAATTCTTCTTCCTGTCAATTAATTTAAACTCATACTCTTGAATCGAAAGGAAGCTAGTTCTTAAATACTCTTAAAAACGCTGGAACACTTTAGTGTTTTTGCACCTTCATATCACATAATACTCATTCATATCAAACCTCATCTCTGTTTCTCCTTTTCTTCCTGATTCCTTTGCATTTTAATTTAAGGTTTATAACTTTTATTTCAATTATTAATTCATTAATGATTTTAAAACATGTGCATTAATTTCAGCCATTTTATATCATTAGTTGTCAAGTTTTTCATAAAAATAAATAAAAACTTTTTGTTATTTATAAATTTATTTATTTTTTGATGGCAGTGCATTAAAGGTGCTATCATCATTACAGGAACCTTCAGTGCTAGTTTTAGAAAATGTGCATTTTTATTTTTTTTTGTAGTGACAATTAGGGCTGAACGATTAATTGCATTTGCGATATCGCGATATGAAAAAACGTGATTTTTCTATGAGGAGGAGCCATATCTTGCTCTCGGCTTCACTCACTGTGTCTATACCGGACGCTACAGTTGTTGCGCCGCAACAGCTCTACACTGGATTCGATAAAGCGACCGTTGCAAATTATTTTAACTTTGTGTCAGTACGTCATAAATAGAACGAGGCATCAGTTTAATGTCGGGTTTCGTCACGTCGTGCCGCATCCAGTGTAGACAGCGTCACTGATTATAATGGGTTCTACACACAGATCTATAGACCAATTCAGAGTAGACGTCACAGTTACGTCACTTGCAGCTGCGCGCGCATAGTGGTTGCAGAAAAACA